TAAGAGCCGCAGGGAGGAGCGAGGGAGAAAGAAGGAAATAGTCTGAGAGAGCTTGAGGGTAGCCAGGCTGAGAGTGGGGAGGCGGGGGGCGGGGGGGGGGGAGAGCTGAGCTGCGAGAGACTGGAGGGAGGGGTGGGGAAGGAGGGAAGAGGAGGAAAGGGGGAACGGGAGGGACTGGGGTGGGACAGGGGACGAGAGAAGCCAGAGGTGGTTGTCACAGGGAGCGACAGGCGGGCAAGGGAGGCATAGCGGGCGCAGGGGATGAACACTTACACCCAAACCCCAAAGCAGCCTCAAGAAAGGGGGCACTGAGGCCGAGGCGAAGTGTGCGCCCCTCTGGCCCCCAGGGGCCCGGCCTTTCGGTCTCCCAAGGGGCGGGCGCTGAGGAGGGGAACCGGAGTCCGGCGGCCTCTCGCGTCGCTGCCTCTTCGGAGACGGCGGCGCGCGGGGAGTGAGGCGGCCGCTTCCCAGGGGCCAGCAGCTCCCCGTGCGCCCCGCGTCCAGGGTCCTCCCGGTGCGCTCAGTGCCACCGCAGCCCTAGCTGGCAGGATTCTCGACTAGGGCTTACCCACGTTTTCTGGCTTCGCCTTTCCCAGCTTTTGCCAGCACCACCCTTCCAGTCGCGGGGCCGGGAGCCTCCGGCCTCCCTGCCCTCCCAGGGTCCCCACCCGAGGCAAAAACCAACAGCCCCGAGGGCACACTTCACGGAGCGCGCGGGGGCCCCGACGGCACACTCGGGAGGATAAAAGGCGGCCAGCCACCCCGTCGGCCCCCGGCAGAATAAAGGGTGCGCAGCAGATTGCCGGGGGCACTCGAAACTCGAGGGGAGGGAAATGCTCGAGCGCGGTCCCTCCCCGCGCCCTGCGGAAGGCGCAGCCTCGCGGACTCTCCCTTGTTCGCTCTCTTTCATGCACTCTCCTTTTGTGTGGAATTATTTAAACGAGAGATCCGTGGCAGCTTTATGCTAATGTGCCGAACAAAGGCAACGGCCCGCGGGCGGGGGCCCGGAAGGTGCCTGGAGGCCGGGCCGGGCCGGGCGGGGCGGCGGGCGGCCGGGTTGCGCGTGTCTCTCGCGTGCCCCCGGGACTGACACAACAACCCCTCATTCCTGCAAACACAAAGCCTCGCCCCGGCGCGGGCCCCTGCGAGACCTGACGGCGGGCTCTGCGGCGCTAACTCACGGTTGAGGCCGGAGAGCGGCTCGGGCTGGGAGGGCCTGGGGGTGGGGCTTCTGCGCGTCCGGGAGAGGGGTCCACAGCTGAGTGGGGATGGGAGTGTCAGGGGGCGCTGTCAACCCCCTCTCGTCCCTCCGAGGGTCTCTAAACGCGCCGCGCCGCTGAGACTGCGGACCCTCCTGTCTTCACCTCTCTGGAGCTCAGGGGCTGCTTGAACTCTTCGACACCCCACGGGGCAATTCCTAGGGCCAAATACCCCTCTTTGGCGCCCATTTCCAAGCTTCGTGCTTTCGAGAAACTCCCCGGAGCTAGACTCGAGCTGAGGTTCACAGTGAACCCCGGCGTGCTCCCCGACGGCTACCTGGGACAGGAGGAAAAGAAAAAAAAAATGAATGAGTGAGTGAGTGAGTGAGTGAGTGAGTGAGTGAATGAAATATTAGAGCGCCTGCGGCCTCCAGTCCCGCTGTCAAAGGAAGACTCCACGACGGGGTCCGCAAAGACGAGAAGCCAGGTGGCTGCCGAATTTTTCCGAAGTGCTGGCCAGAACCGACCCCACAGGAAGGAGAGGAGTTGTCTAAGGCCTGGGAAGGACACTCCGGGAACTGCCTTGGATCCCAGTGCTCGCTGACGCCCGTGAAGCTCCTCTGGAGCGAGGCAAAGCAGCGCTCCGTGTTTCCCCGACCCAATTCCACGCGACTCCCACTCGGAATCGCAATGCGTAAAGGCCGCTCGCCGGGGCGCTGCGTGGTGGCGCTTTGCTCTTCCCAGAAGACGACAAATGGTCTCGACTCGAAGCCCCCATCCCTGCAGGCGCCCAGATTTTGAGAAATGAGATCACTCAGAAGAGAACGGAAATTTAAGGACCAGGTGCAAGGCTGTACCTACTTGGAGGTTGCTGGTGTGTGCGTGCGTGCGCTCAGCCTAATTCTTCCCTAGCCCTGAGTTAAGAAATTTGTTTCTAATTCTAGTACTTTTCAAATTTCCATTTATTTTGACCGTACTCATCCGAAAGCAGATTTCATTTTCGTTGGCAGGAATTGAATCTCAGTATCTCAGTAGTGTTCAATAGATTCTCTTAGCTTAATTCAGAACCCGTTTGAATTCGCTGCATTCAGGCAGGGGTCTTGTTTTGGTTTGGTTTTGTGTCCCCCCTCCCACGCCCTCCTTACAATTATAGGTGTTGTTATTTTTAAAAGACTCACAAGGTGACTAACTCTCCCTGTTATCTGTTGAATGAAAGCAGTGTTACACATGCAAGACCAAATACCCCGCAGTCAGCTTCGGACGGCAGGCCGAGCCCCCACCCTATTATTCCACAATCCAGATGGGATTCGTGATTAGAAAATAAAATTGGCCAAAGCTGTCCCGGAATCCCTCTCCTACTTCTAATTTCATCAGTAGTATTAATCAGTGCTCAAAAGAGCAAGGAAATAACATCAGTTACTTTTAGATTGAAACATATTTATAATTTTCAAATACACTCATTTTAGAATGTCTAACTTTTTTGAGGCTATCATTTACGCAGTTAGCAATTTTAAAACGAGGGTAAGAGCTTTCAAAATATATCCTATGATATGTATGTATTCTTCTCTTTTTAGTCTGAATTTTAAAAAATCACAAACAAAAAATCATAAACACCATTCCCTTTGATTAACCAACTTGATTAACCCTTTGATTAACTAAGCCTAACAATTGTTCTCATTACAACTTCTTATTCATGTGGAAAGAAAAGAAAAGAGGGAGGGAGGGAGGAAGGAAGGAAGGAAGGAAGGAAGGAAGGAAGGAAGGAAGGAAGGAAGGAAGGAAGGAAGGAATCTGCTTAATTTCCCTGCCAGTGTATTTCAGAGGGAAATCCAGACACAATTAAATACCTTCAGTGGCATTAAGCATAAGCAAAACAGCATAGTCTATCTAGGTGCACAGAGCTTTCCAGAAAAAATATCCGTTTCCTTCTCTCTCAATAAAGTGACATTTTCCTCACAACAAAATGCCATTTTCTGTGGCTTTGCTATTTGTTTCCTAAGTGATGGGTGATCAGGCCCACTAGGCACTCGGGGTTCTGCCCGGGTCCTCCGAAGATTCTGTCTTTTGTGTTTCTTTGGGGCTGGGCAGAAAAGATGAAGGCAAAGGGCCCGGTCTGGGTCCAAACGGGGCGGCGGGAGTGGTAGGTAGGGGGGTTGCGAGTGTGTGGATCTTCACTGTCGTCTCTTGGTGGCAAGGGGGGAGGCCGCTTGTCCTCTCCGAGGCTGCAGCCTGCCTCCTAGGACAGATTGCCCCCACCTCCCCCCGGCCGGCAGCACGCGTCTCTTTTGCGTCCAGATTGGCCGCGACCAGCGCTCAATAGCGGGAGGTTAATTTCCTTCACAAAGGTGAAGGGGGCACGGCTGGGGGGGGGAGGCGGGGGGCGCCCAGACAGGCGGCCCCTTTATTCCGCTGCGCCTTGATTGGAGCCCTTGATTCAGCATCTGATGTCAGCCGGCAGACAAAATGCCCGCTCCGAATGAAAATGCATGAGGCGGCGCAAGGAGAGCGGAAACCAACTTCAGTGCGGCGCGCACGCGGCCGACCGCGCGTTTCGGCCTTTGGCCAACTCCTTCCGAATCAACCCAGCCCTGCGCCTCGCGGCGGCTCAGTGGCCTGGGCTGGGCTCCTCTAAGGATGCCAATCTTTGAGCCTCGGAGAACTTAAAAAAAAAAAAAAGTTCAGAAATTCAAGTACCTTTTGGAAGCTAGCCCAACTGCCCCCCACCCCGTCCCGCTCCGCCCCGCCCCAGGCCCGCGTCTGCTGGCGATTAAAGAAGTGCGGTGCCAACTGTATCTAAAAGTCTAGATAAAACATCCCAGACGCACGCGAGCGCACGGAGGCCTTGGATGCAGACACCGCCCTCGGCTGCAGCCATAAGACGAGAACCTCTACCTAAGTTTGGAACCCCAAGGTCCCATTTTCGCTTGGATTCTGGGTCCCGTGCCCCCTCCCCCCCTCCCGTCCGAGGCTCTCGGTCGCCTGGGCTTTGCCGCTATTTTCGATTTTTTATTATTTCACAAACACCAGGCGGAGTCCCTGCGCCTTCCCCGACCCTCTCCCGCCCCAGCAGCCGCACTCAGATCTCCCCAGCGCCTGCTGCTGCCCACCGCCGCCCCTACCCAATCAGCGCGCACAACTTCCCCCTCCGCTCCGGCTCGCGGATTGAACCCTCCTGACATATTTGGGGCCATTCTTCTCCTTTGTTGCTATTTTGCTCGCGACCCGCGGGTAATCCCCGCGCGGGAGGGGGGCGTGCATTGTCGTGCTGATGGACGGGCCCATTTGGCGGCTCCGCGCCCCCCGGAGGAGAGACACAAAGCCCAGGCACGTGCGCTTCCCCATAGAGGAGCAGCAGACCGTGAAGGGAGGCGGGGCCGGGCGTGTGCCTGGGCCGGGCGGGGCGGCGGCGCCGGGCGGGGCGGCAGCGGGGCGCGCGCGGGGGCCCCGCGCCCTCAGGTACATCTGCCGCACCTACCGGGCGACCCCCGAGTCCCGGCCCCCTTTTTGCCGCCCCGTTGCCCTCCCACCCGACTAGGCGGAGGAGCTGCGGGCGCGCTGATTGGCTCCGGAGGAAGCGGGAGGCGAGAACAATGGCCCCCTCCCCCCGTTAAAAGGGAGCGGCTCCCGGGCCCGGGGACAGGGACGCGCGTGCAGGGCGCAGAGCCGGGCCGAGCCGCCGCCGGCGCCACGCGAGTCCCGTAAGCCGCCTCTCCCGGGCCATGGGCCGGGGACACTGAGGGCCGCCCGCGAGGAGCGCGGAGGTGGGACCGAGCCAGTGCCTTGCCCTCGCGCCGCGCCAACATGCCCCGCGGCTTCCTGGTGAAGCGCAGCAAGAAGTCCACGCCCGTGTCCTACCGGGTCCGCGGCGGCGAGGACGGTGACCGCGCGCTGCTGCTCTCGCCTGGCTGCGGGGGCGCCCGCGCGTCGCCCCCTGCGCCGAGCCCGGGGCCGGGACCGCTGCTGCCGCCGGCCGAGCGCGCCCATGCGGCGCTTGCTGCCGCGCTCGCTTGCGCGCCGGGCCCGCCGCCGCCCCCCTCGGGCCCGCGGGCCGCGCACTTCGGCAACCCAGAGGCCGCGCACCCGGCGCCGCTCTACAGCCCCACGCGGCCCGTGAGCCGCGAGCACGAGAAGCACAAGTACTTCGAGCGCAGTTTTAACCTCGGGTCGCCGGTCTCGGCCGAGTCCTTCCCTACGCCCGCCGCTCTGCTCGGAGGCGGCGGAGGCAGCGCGAACGGCACCGGCGGCGGCGGCGGCACCTGCGGCGGTGACCCACTGCTCTTCGCGCCAGCCGAGCTCAAGATGGGCACGGCGTTCTCCGCGGGCGCTGAGGCGGCCCGCGGCCCAGGGCCGGGCCCACAGCTGCCTCCCGCCGCCTCCCTGCGGCCCCCGGGCAAACGGCCCGCGCCCCCCGCCGCCGCCGCCGCCGCCGCCGAGCCGCCTGCCAAGGTAGCCAAGGCCTCGGGCGCAAAGAAGCCCAAAGCCATCCGCAAGCTGCACTTCGAGGACGAGGTGACCACGTCGCCTGTGCTGGGGCTCAAGATCAAGGAGGGCCCAGTGGAGGCGCCGCGGGGCCGGGCTGGGGGCGCGGCGCGGCCGTTGGGCGAGTTCATCTGCCAGCTCTGCAAGGAGGAGTACGCCGACCCGTTCGCGCTGGCGCAGCACAAGTGCTCGCGCATCGTGCGCGTGGAGTACCGCTGCCCCGAGTGCGCCAAGGTCTTCAGCTGCCCCGCCAACCTGGCCTCGCACCGCCGCTGGCACAAACCGCGGCCTGCGCCCGCCGCCGCCCGCGCGTCCGAGCCTGAAACCGCTGCCAGGGCTGAGGCACGGGAGGCGACAGGCGGCGGCAGCGACCGCGACACGCCGAGCCCTGGCGGCGTGTCGGAGTCGGGCTCCGAGGACGGGCTCTACGAGTGCCATCACTGCGCCAAGAAGTTCCGCCGCCAGGCCTATCTGCGCAAGCACCTGCTGGCGCACCACCAGGCGCTGCAGGCCAAGGGCGCACCGCCCGCGCCTCCGGCCGAGGACCTACTGGCCTTGTATCCCGGCCCCGACGAGAAGGCGCCCCAGGAGGTGGCCGGCGACGGCGAGGCGGCCGGAGTGCTGGGCCTGAGTGCGTCCGCCGAGTGCCACCTGTGCCCAGTGTGCGGGGAGACGTTCCCCAGCAAGGGCGCCCAGGAGCGCCACCTGCGCCTGCTGCACGCCGCGCAGGTGTTCCCCTGCAAGTACTGCCCGGCCACCTTCTACAGTTCGCCGGGGCTTACGCGGCACATCAACAAGTGCCACCCGTCCGAGAACAGACAGGTGATCCTCCTGCAGGTGCCCGTGCGTCCGGCCTGCTAGAGCGCGCCCTCCAGCCCGGGCCCCCGAACTGTGCCTTCTCTTGGAGACCCACGAGGAGAGCGCGCCCTGCGCGCCCCGAACCCGCGTCCGCGCCGGGGGCGCCCACCCCCGGTGAAAGTGTTGTCTCCGCTTCTCTCGGTGTGGCGTGACGGTAACCCCAATCCTCTCGTTGTGACTCCTTTCGGACCCCCCCCCCCTTTGCGTTGTGTCGCCTTCCCCTCCTTGGCGCAACAGGAGCCAATCTCTTTCTGTACAAGAGAGAAAAGCTGTACGCGTTTGTCTCGTGGTTGGAAGCTTCCCCTTGCAGGGGAGAGCTGTTTTTCTTGCTAGTATTCGCTGTGTTCATGGTCTAGAAATGCGGTTTGCTCTCGCCTACCAATCTCTGCTCTCTATGTATGTAGCGTACGGGTTGTTTTGGGTGAATCTTGAGGAATAAATAAATGCCTTTATATTTCACAGGCTGTAAATTGAACTTCCCACACGATTAGCTTTATTATGGCTTGTGAACTGCTGGAGTCTGGCTTTACCTTTTTGTATGTGAACAAATCAAATTGCTTAAAAAAGAGTTTTCTTTAGTATAGCCACAAATGCCTTGAACTGTTGTCTGTTTGGGATTGTTTTGGGGGAGGGAAGGGAATTTTCAGAAAATGCTGTAGAAACTGCCTCAATACTTCACGTAAGACTCTGGTTTGATCATGTTTGTTGAGGTAGGACTATATGAGTTCTCTCTAAATGTATATGTTGATTTATGAGTAATTGTTATTTATTCTTTATTTATTTATATTAATTATGAAGATTATGCTATTATTTGATTGCAGATCTTTTTTTTTTTTTTTGGTATGCTTTTCCCCCTCCCTTGCCACTCTTGACATTTCACTGTGCATTTTAGAAGAGAGCCTTTTTCTAAAGGGATCTGTTAAAAGTTTTAACTTTTATACCTATCTGAGCGAATTACAGACAACCTACCATTTTATTCTGCTTGGAGGGCCCCTGAGGCCCTTGTCAACCGACAGCTCTTACTTTTAAATGCAATCTCTTTTCTACATACATTATTTTCTTAATTGTTAGCTATTTATAGAAAGCTTCAATAGAACTGTTTCAACTGTATAACTATTTACTATTCAAATAAAAATATTTTCAAAGTCAAAGTAGGATGGATTTATTTCTGTATCACGTGGCTTCTCTGAGGATTTAAAATAATTTCTTAAATGTCTTTTTTCTATTAAAGGAGGAAAATCCCACCACCTTCACGAGGATCACGGGTTTTTAGAGCCGAGCCTGAACCTCTGGGTCCTGCCCTTCTGGCAGGTCAAGGGTGTAGCCTCAAAAAATGGTCAGCTGGAGCCAAAGGCTTGTTAGGGGTCCTGGGTGGTGGAAGGCAGGGCTAGAATGAAGGCCTGGGAGACTCTGCCAAGGAAATCTACATAAGTGCCCACAAGAATCTATCTATCCTTTTGATCAAGGGGATGTAGAGACACATTTTAACTTAACAGACCCTTCATTTCCTGACCATTTGGGGCTCAGTGTAACAGTAATTTCTGAAATAAATTAGGTGGGTAGTGTGGGTCCTTAAGTACCAAATGGGAAAAAGTAGAGATGTTTCATTCCATGGTCAGATTTCCAAAGTCAGTGTTCCAAAGAACACATGAGGCTACAACAGAGTTTGGGGTAAGGGTTCAAAAATGATTTTTCGATCACGTGAACAATCTGTTTTTGGGGGAAAAAATGGAACGCCATCTGTTTGGGGTATTAAATTTAATAACAGGTCATTACAATGTTTTCCATTACGTGTCACTCAGCTCATTGAAGAACAATCCTGACGCTCACCAGTTAATATTTCGAGTTGTTTTCCTCTCTTTGAAACAGTCCATTACAGAGCTATGCTAAACATCGCAAGTGTGCATTTTCTTTTATGGTGTGTTTTTTCCTGAAGCCCTCTAAATCGAAGGTGTGTCCATCAAAGAGGTTTTAGAAATCTGCCCAGTAAAGGGCTGCCTGTCTGAAGGGTATAGATGGAATGGGGATGGGAAGGACAGTCCATGAGAAACTTTAAAGGAACAATTGAGAGAGATTGATTTTATCAGACTCTGAGCCTGCAGTTTTGTGTGGGAGAAAGTTTAGAAAGACTCAGCCGTCAGGAGCATCAAATACTCCTCCATTTGTGAAGGTCTTGCAACAGACCCAGAATGACAATGAGGGAGAAGCCACTACAGGTAAGTGGCTTCCAGGACAGATCACATGTTACCTTTTATTGCTGATGCCCATGTATTTTACCAGTTTGGAGAATCTCAGAGGATAAAAGCTCAGTTGCCTGCACAATACGTAGGGACAAAACAGTAGTTATAACATTCTGGAAACTGTGATTAAAACAAAAACTCCGATTTGCAGGCTGTTGGCCTCTGAGCAACTAACATGAGAGTTTTTCAATGTCCTCCCCGAATGACACGGCACATGAAAAGATCCCTCATACTGAGTGAGGGTCAGTGTATGTTCTATGCCCATAAAAAGTTTCCTGGAAAACCTGATGGTTGGCCACACATGACAAGTCGAGGCCTGGATGCAGGAATGGCCTCTTGTCATCTGTGTTTGGCCCATTGGTTTTCTTGTCCATAATCATAAAGCATAATTTCTAAGATCCACTTTCAAGAGGGTAAAGAATATTTGGTTGTTTGCAAATATGCTCCTTCATACCCCGTGGAAATGTATTTCCAATGACCAAATATTCCTTTTTTAAAATTAGAAAGCAGAATTTCATTTGTGTGAGACATTCAGTGAAATTGCATAGAAAATTGACTCCACTGATGTGACTAAATAATGTCTAAGAATTAGACAAGTTTTGCCTATTTATTTCAAAGTTATGTTCTATGGGTCTAAAGGATATTCCACAGAAAGGAAATCAGATCCTCTTTGCGTCTCTCTCTCTCTTTTTCATCCCTCCCTGGATAATAGGTTCACAAGGGCTCCCATTTTAGAATACCAAGTGGAAACGTGCTCACCTTCTTTATAAATATGCAAAGGATACTGAGGACATCCTGTGTCTCAGGTCACCCCAAGCTTGGACAACCTTTCTTGGAACCCACTGACACAGCCACGCCCACCGTGGCAAGAGGTTGTTGCTGGGAGGGGCTGGTAGATTAGGGAAAGGGACTGGACCAAAGAGGGAGGAGCTTAAAGAGGGGGCTAAATAAAGGAAGGGATTTAGTTTTTGCCAGTGCTCTCCACCCTTTTTCTCCTCCTAGACGAGGGTGATGTAATAACCAAAGGCTGCTCTGCGCTGCCTGGTTTCGAAGTTAGCCAGCAGCTTTGACCCTTTCTCCAGAGTTGGTAACATCCTCTTGACTCCCATTTCCTTGGAGGCCTGGAGAAGCCTGGGTCTGATGTGGGCTCCGGCTACTCAAAGGCCTGCACTGTGGAAGCACGTGCTCTGCCCTCAGCCAGTCCCAGGGCCCAGCAGAATCCCCCAGTCACACAGCGCTCCAGGGTAACTTGCAAGTGCCAGCAGCAAGGCCAGGGACCTCACAATTGCCCATGATGAGCCATCAGGGAGCAGAGCATGATGGAAGCCTGGAGTCTGGCAGGATTCCAGCGGCTCAAGGGCATGTAGAGTACATTGGGCTGCCCTGTAGAGACCAGGGCGCACAAGATTGGGCAGGCAATGCCAGTCTCCTGGTGGATGTTGCCGAGCCTGTCTGTGCCAGATGCTGCTGACCACGAGGCTACACTGCTTCCTATTGACCCCCATTGCTCTGCCACAGGCTCCTGAGGGGAGCCGCCGTCTCCTTCCACCAGCTGCCCCTCTGTCCCCATCTTCCAGACTTCATTCTGCAGCCTCCGCAAAGTCTTCTAACAAAACAAAGCAGAAACTCTCCACAGTCCTAGTGAACAAAAGAACATCATGACATTCTTCACCCACCAAATGTCTTGCTAAAGAGAAAGGGTCTAGAATACCCCTCAGACAAGGTCCTTGGCTCTACTGATCCCTCAGCTTGCTGCAGGTCTCTGTCTCCTCATCTGTAAGCCCGAGAAAGGAGGCTCTGTAAGGTACAGTGAGGCATCTGAGGAGGGTTCTCCAAACTGTGAGCTGAAAGGCGGCAAAACACCCAAAGGAAGTAGGCGTCCTCTGCCTAAGCAGGAGAAAACTTCTTTCTCCAGAGCATGTTCTCTGGTGTTGAGGATTAGTTATGAATCCACTGGTGTGTGGAAGGCAGACTTTGATCAAAACTTGCTATTTTCTTGTGGAAGGGACATTTTGGTCTTGTGGAGAAAGTTTCTGGCAAATAGACCCTAGCACGTGGGGTCAGTTATAATGACATATAAACATACAGTGCATGTGTCACCCAGTTAGCTTATCACAGGGCCAGGTTAAACTAGAGAGACATGTAAGGTTTGGTGGTTAAAGGTATGAGCTGTGAGGTTTGGAGAAGGTCAAGGGGGAAACTGAGTTGTAGAGAGAACCCCCCCACCCCATGTGGCAAAGCATACCAATGCGAGAGAGTGCAGTAAAGAACATACAAGGGTCTTGATCCCCTCTGCTTGCCAAAGTGGTACCATATCATGGAGCACAGCACAGCAGTCTACAGATACTTAGCATTCTAATCCTAAATTATGGAAATATTTGATTAATGCTTTGGCAATATAACTTGAAGGTAATCGCCTGAAAATCCTGCTCGGCTGAGAAAGCCTCTAAATGCATCTTCAAGTTATATAGATTTTATATATTGAAAGAAACATTGTTTCTTTATTATCAACCTATAGCATTAAGTGACCAACACTCATAGGGAAAGCCTGGTATACTCATTACTCCTGAGTTGCAATATGGCCACCATCTCTAATAGGCACATAACATCAGCATCACGGACAAATTCAAAAGTGAGATCTGGTCACAGGGCTCACAGTTGTCCCCGTCCAGTGGCCCTAGCAGAAAGAACTGTTACCAAACACCCCGAGTAGGAAGACCATCCTCTGAGGGATTGTTCAAGTTCCTGGGGCTGCCTCTTCTG